AGTGGGTTGAAATTACTCCACACAACTTCTTTTACAGTTAAACTGAACCACGCCAGGAAAACCCTTAGATCAGAGAACACCTATAAATAGAGAACTATCTTCTGATAACCCAGGAAACAGAGAACTGTCCTCTCCTGGGGAGCATCAGTGGCCTCCCCTTCTTGTGGCAAAAAGGGGACATTAAATATCACTGCACATAAAAACAGACCTGGATGGACAGATTGGTGCCTCATCAGCCTGTTGTACTTAGTCCGCCTGCTACCGTCACCATTGTGATGTTTCAACACCTGGCAGACTGGGAAGAAATTCAGAGTTTATAGACAGCCAAGGAAGAGAAAGTGAAGTGGATTTATCTTGTTTTTCAATTAGCTTCCCAGGATCAACTTTAACTATATTAGCTAGCCACACCAATTCATTTCCTCCCTGCAGTGTCATCTTCCTTCCAATAGAGGCCTCTGTCTACCAACAAGTGCGCCATCTTTGATTCTTGGTGGCTCAGGATGGGTTGAGTTTGTCATAGTGCCAAACGTCTCTATTCCTTCTCTTTTCTTTCCTTTCCCTTCTTCTTTTTTTTGCCAGCAGTTAGCCTAAACAATTTTCCAGGGAGATGAATAAAATGTAGAGCTTTATAAATGCACGCAACACGTTCCTTTACGGATTCTTTAAGGGGTGTGGGAGTGAAGCTATGCAAGATAAAGTTGCCAAGGGCCATCTGGCAGAGGTCTCTGTCATGGGTTAAACCCCTTCCTTTGTTTTGTTTCACCTGAATTCAGTACCAAATAAATTGCTGCATAAGCCAGGTGTTTTGAGAAGGGAAACCTGTCTATGCTACACCGTTATGGCCATTTAATATTACTTAAAATTATGAAGCTTCATTCTGTGGAATTGCTGGACTTGTAGCTCATAGCTTAGGATTCCTTGCAGTGGTTCCCAATCTTGGGTCCTCCCTTTGTTTTGTTTCACCTGAATTCAGTACCAAATAAATTGCTGCATAAGCCAGGTGTTTTGAGAAGGCAAACCTGTCTATGCTGCACTGTTATGGCCATTTAATATTACTTAAAATTATGAAGCTTCATTCTGTGGAATTGCTGGACTTGTAGCTCATAGCTTAGGATTCCTTGCAGTGGTTCCCAACCTTGAGTCCTCCAATGTTCTTGGACAAAAACTTCCAGAAACCTTCACCGCTACCTATGCTGGCCAGGATTTTGGGGAGTTGTAGTCCAAGAACATCTGGGGACCCAAGGTTCAGAATCACTGATCTAATTAATGTCCCAAGAAGGACAGCAGCAGAGCGATCCAGCAGATATTTTTTAACCAGCTCACCAAAGAACAAACCCCAAGAGACGACGCCATCTGGGGACCCAAGGTTCAGAACCACTGGTCTAATGAATGTCCCAAGAAGGACAGCAGCAGAGCAACCCAGCAGATATTTTTAACCAGCTCACCAAAGAACAAACACCAAGAGGCAACGTGATGGAATCACACTGGTTAAAGAGGTATCAAACTGCTATATCTGCATAGCGCAAATGCACTCAGGAAATTCCTTTCCCACACCCAATCTACCAACCCATCTGATTCCACACCATGGTCCACACAAATGTTTCTCTGCGTGGAGATCCCGTATCAAAAGCTGTCATTCCCTCCACCTACCAAAAACCTGCTCCACTTTTACCTGGATGCTCTGGATGTTCTCAGCAAAAGCCTGATTCAGGAAGGTGGTTGTGCGAGCCGCCCCTTCCTCCCGAGTAGACTGCCAGGCACCCAAGTCAGACTCTTTGGGGAAGTCTTCCAACTCCTGATGTTTCACCAGCTCCTTTCATGGGGGGTGTGTGTGTCAACAAGACCAATGAGGTTAGAGAGCCCTCCACATTTCTTTCTTTCTTCAAATCCTCCTTTCTGTGGTTTATTTACACTAAGAAAGAGAGGCTTGTCTGATTTGTGACTTAAAGTATGCATTTTCCAGGCATGCTATATGAGTGACTAGTCTTATCCTAGAACAGGAGGAGAAACTTCCATGTCAGGTTAACAATCCAGATCGAAATGTCCCTTGCCTTCTTCTTCTTCTTGCTCAGGAGAGTACCAGCTGTGGCCTCTGGCACTGGGCATTGCCAGCTGCCCCAAGGGTGCCCACTTCCTTCATCCTCAGAAGTTGTTTTAGTGTGAATGGATGCTTTTTTCAATGCGCTTGAATCCATGTCCTGGCAAGGAGCCGTGTCAAATCCACTCCCAAGCTGCTGTCCTGAGAACAATAGAATGGTATATGTACAAAGTCTGCTTACCCTTTGATGCTCTCGCATGTGGATGTATATTTGCTTTTGAAGCTGCTAGGCAAAACACAGAGGCGGCCCAAAGAAGTCCGCTCCCCAAAGGTACAGAGCAAAACATTTCTTTCTGTCAGGCCAAGAAGGGGAGGGATCGTTAAAATAAATACATCTGGGAATCAGAAGCGAAAACCCCACCTGGACCCGAAGGCAGCTGTTGTGAAATCAGTACCTTTAGAGGAGGGCTGTTTACATGTTAGACAAGAGGTGTGGCAATAGAAAGCAGCTGCTTGCCTACATTCATCTCCGCAGACTCCCCTCTCCGGCCTCAGGAGCCTATAAATGAGGGAGCTTATTTAACCATGTAAACTGTGCTAATAGGGCCAGTATGCAACTGGGTCTTCCTTCCCCCCCATTAAAGACCCCACAGAGACCTTTCCCTTCACGGCCAAATGGTCGGGCAACTCTTCAGCCTCTTTCCACTCCCTTGGCATGTACAAGCCGCCATTTTGTTCTTACCACAGGAAAGAGAAGAGGCCATGATTTCCCTATTTGAACTCTGCCGAAACACCTTGAGCCCCCCGGGAAAGGCAGTCCAGAAAGGGACGGGAGCTAGGAGAGAGATTATTCCGGTCATGGAGCAAGGCAGTCACTCCCTGGGTCGAGTGCCCTCTGACCTTCTTACCACAAAGTATATTGGCCGGATATGTGTGTGATTCATTCAGCGCCCTGCACAGCAGCCCCAAGACCACTGAATGCTAAATTCTAGCTTTCTCGGGGAGCCTTTGGGCTGGAGAAACTCAGAAGGCGTTAATTATATCTTTTTATTAACATGTAGAAAACTCTGAAGAAATACAAAATGGCATTACTTTGGTGGAACAGTGTGTGCGTGTGTGTTTGTGTGTGTGAGAGAGAGAGAGAAAGAAAGAGAGAGAGAGAGAGAGAGGAGAAGAGATTTGGGCATTACAAAGTTTCATTTACAGCACAGATTTCTTTCATGTCAAAAAAAAAATCCTTAAAAATTAAACAGGCATATTTATACTACCAACAGCAAAAGGGACAACATAAAAACCACTTAAAATAAATGGAAAAAATGTCTGCAGCTCCTGGACTTCTACAGAATAACCAAGCAAAGTTTGATATTCATCGTTTCCGAGCCTAGATAGACTTGCTTTGGGTGAAATCTAAAACTCTTAGATTAAATGCCCCAATGAACATCTCCAGTGACCATGCTAGGGGGGTCACAGTCACACAAAAGTAACTTCCGCTAGGATTTAGAGTTCCACAAAAGTAACTTTCTCGAGGTCGCCCTCAGTTTTACTTTTGACAACAAAATAACCAGCGCTTGGGTCGCCGCCAGTGATTTGAAGGACGCTTCCGACCTTTGCCATTGTGAATTTGCCACATATCAGAATGGAAATGGGTTGCCTTCAGCCCAAATTCTGGCAGGTCAAAGAGTGTCCGCCCGCTGTGGGGTATTGCGCCAGCGCATATACGCAATTCCTTTCAATCTGCTGTGTGATATGTGAGAGGAGATTGTGTTAGGAATACTTTAGTGAAGAGGAAAATGAAACCCGGGATGAAGTAGACAGCCTTTCCTCCTCACTGCAGATGGCCGCCAAGGCCCAGATCTGAATTAAACAATTCTGTTACCGTGCCAAAATATAATATTTTTTTTTAAAAAAGCATCAAGAAAGGTGAAATGGACGTGAACTGCAAAGACCACAAACGAAAGTCTAAGGAACCACAAAGAACTCTGAACACATTTGCCTCGCACGGCACAAAACGCTCAGTCACCATCATGTCTGGGGATCATCGTGGAGCAACATTTGATTTAAAAACACACAACAACAACAACAAAATCGAATGGCTTCGTCAGTGGGGGGAAGAATGTGATTTAGAATTTCAACTATTCAAAACAGTGAAACTGGCACGCGAGATACAAATACACAGGAATGCTGCCACATGGTTGCAAATTAAATACTATAAAAGTGTTCCTTTTAAATACGACATAAGACCAATCTCATTAAGTGCATAGAACGTAAGGTGGAAAACAGGTATGTACAGTGACAAGAATATTGAACATAGATATATTTGTGCCAAACAATGCTTGTATATAAAAGAAAGTGTTAACAAGGCCAACGGACTCTTACTCTTGAAACAAAAGACCAATATTTTCTCCTTAGTAACAAACAACAGTAAGCAATACAAGATATATCGGTTTATCAATGTGCCCCATAGTCTTAACGTCGCCTCCTGCCAAACATTGGAAGATTTACACCCCGCTCCAGTGTTTGATGTAGCAGTCCGAAAGTGCAATAAAAATACGCATTACATTTTTTAAAAGGATGTCCTGCATGTGGTTCATTAAAGTTTTTGGAAGCATTGTATTGTGCCAGGAGCTATGTATTTCAGGGGCTGCAAAAATTAACCAGTTGTCCTTAAAGATAATAATGAGAAAAAAAGACTAATCAAAGAGCTGTTTTTTATGCTTTTTCATACAATTCCTCAGGCTTGCTTCTCTCGTTACATTTTAAAGATGAGGGATGGTGGAGAAGCCACTTCCCCAACAAACCTGTGAGCAGCTGGGCTGGGCAGAGGCCATCCATACCTGGGCCAATGTCTTCATAGATTTTAATAAAGACATCTTCCTTCCTTACTCCCTCCTCCCTCCCTCCCTTCCTTCCTTCCTTCCTTCCCTTTTCTTTTCTTTTCTTTTCTTTTCTTTCAAGAAATTGGGTTTTGCATTTTTCAAAAGTCGTAAAAACAACGGCCAATATTATGTGGGGGAAAAACGAAGACAGACCAAACCTTCCCCCAACCCTCCTCCATGATAACCGATACTCAAATATGTCTAATGCCCCCAGGAATTCCAAAACTGAATGTTATACCCTAAAGCTATACTTTGCTTTATCACCTACACCTCCCATCAACCCTAGGGGTAAAGGATGATGGGAATTGATTTTTTTAAAAAAATGGAACTGAAGTACAAAAAAACCCCAAAACAAAACAGCGCCATGCAAGGGATTTCAAGGTAATAAATTATATAGGGAAGTACCTTTGTGTTTAATACTGTAAGGATGAAATAGAGGCAGAGCTACAAGCTACAGAAAACGTGGGCTTGCTGCTGAAATGCTCATCCCCGAGTCGAGTTTTCACCGAGCTCGCGTGGGGACCAGTGGTCGGAGACCACTGCTCTAGCATCCCGTGTCCCGGCTGCCCCTTGCACAGGTGAAGAAGGTAAAATACTGAGACATTAGGATGCAGGTTAGAGAGACGAGCTTTGTGTAACATGTAGCTCGGCCTGGGCAGCATCATCATCTCCAGAGTGGAAAGACAAGGTTCAAATCTTCTGACTCCACCCTTTGGCACACCCAGAAGAGGTTACCAGAAGACCTCCCAAAACGCACACACAAATTAACTTGTAAACAAAACAGTAGGACAATTATCTTGATTGCATCTCACAATGGCAATCTGTTGCGAGCACCTTTAGCTTATAAAGTAATGTTGTCCTTATCCTGTTAGGATTGCCTTCCTTTAAAGCAAATTTCTACATCTGCCCACGTAAGAACCTACTATATTATTTTTTCAAAACAAAAATTAAACAATGCCTGCGGGGAATTTTAAAAAAAAAGACTCTGTGAAACAACTTCACTGGTATAAATGGAAGGAGAATTTGGCCCTGTGTTTTATGGGGGCTTTATGTAAAGGAAAGAACACATTTTCCAGCAATACGCTGTTGTTGTTTTTTTAAAGGTTGAAATGCTGTATATAGGAAAAAGTCGCTCACTAAGGGAACAGTGAGAAGGGTTTACTGGGAACTGTTTACTGCCCTGATCAAACTCTTGTGTAAATTGGGGTTCTGACTGTGCCGGTTTCGGCTACGAACCGAAGAAAACATGGTGTCACAACCGGGAACTTTGCATTTGTGAAGCTGGCGGAGGTGTACTGTTTTGTAATGGGCCCTGAACGTCCCTTTGTTGCTGTAGCTCCTCTGGCATAGGTCGCAAGTGATGGGCAAGCCAGAAGCGGCGTTGGGGAACCCCGGGGGCAAGCTCTCCATCAGGGAACAGTCTGGATAGAGTTCGTCGCTGGGGTTTAAGCAGCTACTTCCACAGCTTTCCGGGCTGCCCTCCACACCGATGGGATCGTCCTCGTTGCCTCCATCGGAATCCCACGAGGAGTGGGCGCTGCTCTCGGACTTGATGCTGGAGGTGCTGCTGAGGTCCAGAACAGCACCGTCATTCACCAAGTCGTACGGGTAGCTCACGGGGCACGGCTCTCCCATCTTGCTCATTGGGAACACCAGGCTGCCGGTCCTGTTCATCCCTTTAAAGATGACGGACGTCGGTTGCCCGACGACGTGTCTTTTCGAAGAGTCCTCTGGGCAAACCTCTTTGGCCAAGTCCTTCAAGAGGCAAGTGGCGTTGAAATGATGCGTCTCTGCTTCCAAAGGATCTTTGGTGAAAAGTTTGTGGTGAAGGTTTAGATTGGAGCTGTGTCTAGGGAAATAAGGAAAAGGATCAAGGGTGTCAAAAACTGTCCGGGCAAAACAGATTGGAAAGACTTGTGCCTGGTTTCTAATCTAAAGAATTGGCCCCAGGTTGGATATCCTGCCAAAAAATTGGCTGTTGTATCTTTAACGACAGTGAGCCAACTGACAGGGACCGGAAACTTGGGGGCAAAGCTGTAGAACATGCTCTCCTTAGGGTATTGAATGCCAACTCCCATTCAGACCCAGCCTCTCTCGTAGAGTTCTGAATTTTTGTTAAATACCTCCAGCTGTGCAGCAAAAGTGCAGAGACTTACAGAGCAGAATTAGCCTCAAATCTCCTCACAGTAGCCCACCCCTCCTTGTCTCATCAACTGGCACTTACTGTCTCAAAAATCCTCTTTCCATTGGTAAGAGGAAGAATAAAATGTTTCATTTACTCACAGTTCTGAACAGATCATAAACAGCATACTATACACAAATGATTGCTTTCAGTAGCAACAGGTCTCAACAAACTCACAGCCTGCTTCCAGCAGAGCCCTGCAAACTGTATTTTAATGGCACTAAGTGCTCACTAACTGCTAACTGCGTGCTAACTGCCAGCAGACTAAAAGAGAGGGCAAGGGACACTTAAGCAGAGAGGCGTGGCTCTCTTTAGAATAAGAGGTAGCAAAGGAACAATTGGATTAAGGGACACTTAAGCAGAGAGGCGTGGCTCTATTTGGAATAAGAGGCAGTGAAGGAACAATTGGATTACTGGATTGACTAACAGTCACCCCAGCCCAGAAAGGTCCCTCCTAGCTAGACCTACTAAAGGCAGCGTATGAGGTTGAAATAGTGCCAACAGCCTGCATACCCAAATGGATCTTTAGACAGACACCAGTGCAAATTCCTACGGTTCAGAATAACTGGGTACATTTTCATGGTGGTAATTCAGTAGCCTGCGAGCAGCTGGTGCAGGAGGCTAAGAGGCTGCAGAGAGTTGACCCTGTTGCAGCTTCTTGTTAGATCTGCGTCTACAGCCTAACACAGTAAAACACATTTGACCACTGCGTAGTGCAATGAAGTCAGAGAAAACTGGAGAGACAGGGCAGCGAGAAGGAATTAAGGTTTTGACCCAGCAGTTTCTGAACCAGAGCTGCCTGGGTGAAATCTAAGAACGTAAACAAACCTGCAACAGTTCCTAATCATCATTAAGCAAAGTCCAGCGAGGGGTAGAAGTAGAAGCTATACCATTCTCTGAAATGATTCATCATGGTCCTGGGGAGTCCAAATACTGGTGTATATATTCACTGAAAATCTGCATAGTCCTCCAATTCAAGGATGGACAATTAGGAGTTCTTAGACTACAATTCCCACCAGCCCTAGGGGTTTATGGATCATGGGAATGGAAGTCCAAAATCAAAATCCCAAAAAACAGTGCCATGCAAGAGATTTAGAAATATACTATGAACTTTGACGAAGGCCACAGTCCTAAATACATTTGTTTCTGAGCAAACCCATTAGAGGTGCCTGCTTAACATGGGAAAATATTAGCACACACAAACACACACACACAGGTGTGCACTCTTTCTCTTGCTCTCTCACACACAACTTAACACTCTTCAAACCACCACACTCCTTATTGAATATCTTCTGGTCTAAGGGAACACAAAGTTTCCTTTCACGTTCTTCCAAAAACACAACACAGTGGCATTTTTTCAAAATGTCTTTGCACACAATCCTTCATGGCATACTTGTTTTTATTTTTTAAAGACACACACACAAACCCACATTGATTTTGAGCACCATCGTCATCTTACCTGTCTCGACTTCTACGGGAGGGAAAAGTGGCGTTACAACCCTCCACCGTGCAAAAATGCATTTCTTTCAGGTGGACGTTCTTGAAATGCATTTTTACACCGTACGGGTTTTTAAAGGTCTTCTTACAGATGTCACAGTGGAAGCGACTGTCTTCCTTCAGAAGCCCTAGCGCACCTCGATTGACTCGATCCATATCTTTCATAGCGTCAAAACCAGGGATGGCCACGCTCCTACCGGACAGGGCGCAGAACCCACCCTTACTGAGGAAGCGGTGCTCCAATTCAGAGAGGCCATTAACAGGAATCCTGTTGTTGTTCAATGGCCCCTGACTATCGCCATGGGGTTCTGTTACCGCTTGGATCCTGTCACTGTGCAGGTCTTTCTCTTTGGCTGCATTTTCACCGGAAATTGTCTTAAGCACTGTGCTTTGGTCTGGCTCATCCTTTGTCTCGGAGCAACGAAAGTCATCCGCTTTGAGGCACGTATCATTTGGCTTGATGGATTTAATGGGTTTTGGCCCTCCAGGAAGGGACGTCCACGATGTGCCTGGCCGGGGGTCTTTCTCCTCAGTCTGGGGCATGGCGCCGTCTACCCTAGTCTGGCCCCTCTCCTCAGGCCCTTCACTTACCGCCTGTGGCGATGGAGCCTCTTCCAGGCTGCCAGTTTCCCCGGTCGCTTTGGCTGCCTCCACAGCTTCTTTCTCTATCTTGATGGGCATGCTAGACTTACGGGATTTTTTCTTGGGCATTGCCTCACAGGGCAGTTCGTTGGAAACCAAGAGTTCGGGTATCGACGAGGAAACCAGAGGGAGCGAGGGAAGGGTGCCTGGTGTATTCGCAAACTCAGCTGGAGTGACCGGACTGCGGTAGAAGGGAAGAACCGGCTGCACCGTTTTCAGGTTTGGAAAGGGGATGCCGTTTTGGCCGGTGCCATGAAAACTTGATGGTCCCTTGGGCTCAGAACAAGCACTCCCGTGGCCGGGAACAGATCGGTTCTCGGGGGCTAACAGAGGAAAGTCTGCCTGTCTGTTCTCTTCCAGTCCGGTGAGGGTCAAGCCATTCCTCAGATCTTTATCTCTGTTGTTTCGGTTCATGGGCATGTGGAGTCTCGGGTTGGGGTTGGCGCTATGCCGATTCCGGCTCCGTAGGGAGCTAAACACCATGTTGCAACCTTCAATGGTGCATTTGTGTTTGATTTTCAGATGGACAGCGTTGTAATGGATCTTCAGGGTTCCTTTATCGTAAAACGTCTTTTCGCAAGCGGTGCAAAAAACTCGCCCTTTCCTTGCCCCGGGGCCGTTTTTATCCACGGATTTTGTTTTGCTCTCTGGAGATACCTGGCCTCTGTCAATCTTTGGGAATGCATTTGGAGAGGCCACATCCGTGAGTAAATCATCCTCTTCTGGCTTTAAAGGGGTACAGGGACTGGCTGCGGTTGTTTCTTTATCTGCCTGGAATGAAGAGTCGGACGTTAAGAAGGTGTGTTCAGAAAACGGCGTGTGGATGCCCTGTTTCAGTTCTTTGCTGTGTTCCTGAATTTGCTCCATCAGAAGTCTTTCGGGAGGGGATCCTATCAGAGGCGGAGGCATAGGACTGAAAAACTGGAAAGGCAGCATAAAAGCCATATTGTTGACCAGGTTTTCAAAGTGATGGATATTTACAGGGTTCATTTTCTCCAAGACTGTGGAAAGGTTTGGACTTCTTTGGTTGCAGCTCTCAATAAATGCCCGGATATCCATGTTGGTCGCCATGGTGGGGATGACAACGGACTGACCCTCTTTCTCCTGTATCGCCATGAGCTCCACAATGGACTTGGTTTCGCCAAAACGCAGGAACTGCTGCAAAGTAGCCAGCTCCTCTTCGCTGGTCATGATACTCCAGTGATCCAGGACCTTTCCGGAAGCATCCTTGAAGAGATAAAAGGAAAACCCAACAGCAATGCCATAAGTACAAGAGTGACACCATCTTTGGCATCCAATTCTCACAGACTCTTAAGGCAGAGCAGTTCCTACATTATATTCAGCACCCCTAAGGTGTCAGCAAAATCTGTGCTGTTCTGCTGACCAACATCTGGACATTTACACATTTCTCTGTCCTTAATTCAAAGGGGTGACTTGGTGTCAATTAAACAAATCCCTGCTTGGAGGAAAGAGGTCTTAGGGAAGCACGGTTTCTTTCTGTCTCTTTAGGAAACCAAAGGGTGGCAACTCATCTCTTGTGTTTGCTTGGGGTAGAAGTTAAGGCCCCAAAAGGTACATCTTGCATACACTTGGTGTCGGGATTGCAAAGAAGCAGCGACTTTGGGAGCAGGTTGAGAGATGACATGTAGTGGATGCATGAAGAAATGGACTCGCCTCGAATCACTACCATGGCCTGAAACTGATGGGGATCTACTTCTGGTTGGTGTTGTCGTTTTGCCAGATCAATGGCTTGGCTGAAAAAGCAGCCTACAGGGATTTATAACGTGTTCCCTGTCCATCATCTTAACATCTTAGTTCTTGCTCCCTGATCATGAACAGACCTTTACAAAGTGTTTTGCTGCTGTGCCACCAAAATTAAAACACATGACACAGGTAAGGACGATGTGAAGAGACGGAGCAAAGGAGAAGATTTAGCTTCACATTGAAGTAATGTATTCTTGCATTGCAAGTTTAATAATCTTCCCAGGCTACTAAGATCAGAGGACAAACGAGCTAGTATCGATCCTTCGCCAGTGTTCACAGAGCACAGCTGTAATTACACTGGAGTGTTGGAGTTCTTTCAAACTCCAAGCAGACCAAACTTTCCCCCAATAACTACCATAAATATTTTATCACAGCACATGTATTTGATGGCCTTTGGAGAGTTTCCACTGGGCCATCGCGAGACTTCTCTACGATGGTGAAGAATGGCTGGCCATCAATTTTTCATGCAAAAGAGGTTCAAGGTAATTGAGCCCATCTTTTTTTAATCCTAACACTAAAAAGCAAAATTATCCAGCCCTATTAAATATTCATGGGCGTCATAACACAAATCATATTGTTGCTTTATGTTAAAAGAAGAGTGCCGACCGAAGAGGTGGGGGGAGGGAAATGTCTGCCCTCCGTTCTCGCAAAGTTCAAAATGACCTCACTCAAACCGATAAATACATCGGGAAGATCTAGACGGGGAGTCCTGAGAATGGCAGTGAAGCTTCTGCCCTGATTAGCCAAACTGCTCTGATGCCATTAGAATGTTCGCAAACATTTCAACTTCGGAAATCAAAGTGACAAAAGTGAACTGGAGGCAACCAATAAGGAGCTCACCTGCAAGACATAACCACGGATGTAGTCCTGCAATGTCCAGTCAAGCGCATGGAGGATATGTGTGACCTCCTCTTGTTTCAAGACACTGAAGAGCCGATCCAAAAGAATTTTGAGGCGGACTGGAATTGCTTGGGTTCCATACAGCATAAGGCTGCTGATATCAAAAACCACATTCGACTGAACTATTTCCACTTCGCTGGTCGGATATAAGTTTGGGATTCTTAGCTTACTTAAAGCTGTAAAGGTAAAAACAAGGCAATGAGGATTCATATATTCCCAGATATGAAGCAAAAAGCTTTTTTTTAAAAAAAGAAAATGGAGATAAAAGCCATGTATTTGTTTGGTTCAAAATCCACACTGTTTATGGCTACGGCAATGTTTATGACTGAGAGTGTTAGGAAATGCCTCCCTTTCCTGCTAGGTATGTCAAAATGGACTTATTTAACCCCTGCTTGCAGAAGAGTAAGAGCCAGAGAGAACAAGTGTGGTGTGATGGATTCGAGTGCCAAGCTAAGACTCAGGAGACTTAAGTTCAAATCCCCGGTTCAGCCATGGAAACCCACTTGAGGTAGCAATGACAGATCACTGCTCCAACATCGCATGTAGCTTGAACATGTTTATTAGGGTCACTGATATTTGGAAGCGGCTTGGTGGCTCACAACAATACCAACACTTGCAGAATCTTAAAAAGAAAGCCTAGAAAGAAATGCAAATAATAAACCTCTCCATCCAAGCATGGAATACTAGTCTGCTTGGCGATCAGGGTTATCACATTCTGCCTCCCTGTCGTGGGAATCTATCATCGGAAAACAGATTATGTGGGAGAATGTTAGGTCTCTTCTGCATTTCAGCCAGTGATCTGCTACATATTGATGGATGGGTGACCAGAGTTTGTTGGAGTACTGGT